TGTTCTTTTATTTCACAAATATTAAGCTTCAGCTCACACCCTATCACTGCCTTTGCTTAACTGTCATGAACCATATCAAAACTGCCATAAGTAAAATGGTGTGAACAGTATGAAAAATGAAAGGTAAAGCCTGCCTTATTCAGTTACAATAAATCGCTATGAATCTAACATTAAGTTATGAGAGTTATGAGAGAGTTACTAGTTATGAGAGAGAGAGCAGTTGAAGTTTGCAGCCACATACAGCTCTTTGCGGGATTAAGTGGTTAATTGGCACTACATGTAGATACAAAAACAACTGCAACCCGGATACGAATGTGGAACACCTGCTCAAAGTGACGATATCAGGCTTTTCCCTATAGAGTATGTTGCTATGACTCATCTACTACTTGCAATCTCATACCAGCTGACATTTCAGCATGTCATCTCATGTTCATTTGCATAACAACACACACTTGTCGCTATACAGCCTTAAATAGGCCAGTTAATACAGCTGTCACTACTACTAATTTGCTAGACTGAGTGGAAGTGCAGTGGAATATAAGACACTCAAACTTCTGTTCTGCATATAGACTTTGGCCATGTTTCTAATAGAGACTCTCAAATAGGGTTATTTAATTTATTTTTGCAGAAATCTATCATAGTTGCTCAACATTTATGTCAATAGCAACCACCTGACTGTTTGTAATACTTTGCTTGAAATGAAGAGGTTAGGAGATCATCTGTACAGTATGCAAAATCAATACAAGGTCATTTTATGCTAGGGCTGTCAAGAGTACTTGAATTAACTTACTTCACTAAACAAGATATCAAAGAACATTTACTTTCTCAATGATTAGTTAGCACTTGACATGATAATGCAAAATTCACATTACTTGGCATTACAAGTCTTTTTTAAGGCTTTCTTGTTTATCTTTTTTTTGCATTATTGACTTCTTGTAGTGCTTTTAAATGCAACTGCGGTACAGACATATTACTTATTAAATATACACATGGAACATATTTTAAGCACTTCAGAAAATAGGGATTTTGGTACATAATTTTTTTGTGAAACAGTATTTTTTTCAGGGTTCACAGAGCCCCTAAATACTGGCCAGTAAAACAAATATATGGCTAGTTGTTTCCTCTTTCAACAATAGTGAATGAGTGCAATTAATTAGTATTCTCAGGTATATCAGATGTTTTCAATTTGGTTGTGTTACATTCCCCATCTTGATTATTTCTGTACGAGAACATGTGGAACTACCTGTCATCAGTTCCCACCTTCATCAATCTCTGTTAACTGATATATCTCTGTGTTCACTGATGCAACAATTAGCCAAAACTATTTTCATAAGGCTCTGATTATGTAAGATCAGGAAACCCAAAAACTACACAAGTTACAGATAAAATACATTAATATTCTCCATTCCTGGAACACATCACAGCTTCTACAGCACAAAGGAAAGACAAAATTGACAACGGCTTCCCAGAGGTCACCCGTGTCCAGTCCGAATGCCACTCTGAGAAAGGAGCTTACACAGTGATGACCCTTAGGTATGACTATACTCTTACCATTGTGTTACATCACCAGCTGAGAGAGAGAGAGAATATTAACTGTACCTCACTCTACATGTCACCTGTAAATAGAGGAAAACCTTGGCCAAGGACAAAGACAAAGACACTTACATAGAGGAAAAGATATTCACTGAAAATGCTGGCCTTCTTAGGACAGGAATAGTGCTAAAAACCAAACTAAAACCAATAGTATCTCTCAAATAGTAAAATTAAAAAGATGGCTAAAGTTTGTAAATGAAAGCAAGTTAGCTTGTAAAGTAAAAGTAGCTGTAGACAGAATTTATGGCTTAACTGGGTTTATAGAGAATGTGGTATTTTTGTTTAGGGTTATTTTAGAGTTTAGAACAGTAGAGGAAGATTTTGGTTAATAGTTTGAATGTCTAAAGATCATGTGGCAGTTTTAGCTTTAGACTCCCAGGCTTACTAAGGTGTTTTGTATTATAGTTGAAAATGAATTAAAGGTAGTGGGTTGCTTAAGCTGTGATAGGATGTTGTGGTTATCTGAGGAACACTTGAGGTTTATAGGGGTTATTTCGTTGTCTTCTTATTCAAACTTAATTCATACATGTATTCTGTATATTACTGCCTGTATAATAGGCCTCTGTCTGCATTATGATGCAAAGAGACAAAGGCTGGTTTAGGCCCCTTAGGCTTAAACTTTATGCTGCTGAAGAAGCTGATTATGACAAGAGTCATCCAGCCAAATAAAGGCATTAGCAAGAGAGGAGACAAAAAAGACTGCTAAAGGGTAAGAATGAGACCCAAACACTGCGTATAATTACTGTAATTCTGTATTGGGGAATTACAACAAGGCCACAAAAAAGCAACAGACCAATGTGTTCTATAGACTTAAGCAGCAATGGCTCAGCAGGCAAATGAGTAGCTGAAAACTACTACCTGACTCACTGACAACATGAAAACCTTAACCAGAAGGCCAAAAACAGGAGTTCTGACTGCATATTTATTGTCCAGGTGTCAAGGTGTATGAGACATTAAGTGATGCTGAGAGACAGATGGACATTCAAACTTTACCTGCTCTCCCCATTTGGCTTCAGTGTCAGACCAGTTAAGGTGCCATTCACCCAGACAAAAGACTGGGCAAATCAGGCCCGAGGAAAGAGAGGAAATGGTATTAGGGTGGATTATAGAGATAAGCTGACACCCAATTCAATCATAACAGTAAGCCAAGCCTGAGCCTCTATTGTCTGTCTGAGATTAGAGTTTAAAAAGTGCCCCAGTCACTCATTTATGTTAGTCTGTGTAACCTTTTATGGTGTACATTTCAGTGAGATGTGAGACCAATTTCAAAACCACGACAGCAGTTAATGGTATTAGATGAGGCATCAAGACTATGAGGGAAATTGAGAAGGGGTAAAAAGTTGAAAGTAGACTACTGTGATTATAATAACCTCTGTGAGGTAATGTTACTTAAAAGCACCTAACAATGCCCTATCAAATGAAATGAAAGGGACTAGAAATGTGATGCAAAGGCTAAAAACAAATGCTAATAAATAGGAACAAGTAAGCCTTCAACTCCAACAAATGAGAGCAAGATTAGCCAATTGATCATTTTCCAAATAGCAATGGCAAAGATCCCATGTAAGATCAAGAAAAAACTGTAAAAACTACTTGCAATCTCATACCAGCTGACATTTCAACACATCATCTCATGTTCATTAGCATAACAACACACACTTTTCACTATACAGCCTCAAATAGGCCAGTTAATACAGCTGTCACTACTACCATTCATTTGCTAGACTGAGTGGAAGTGCAGTGGAATATATGAGACTCAAACTTCTTTTCTGCATATAGACTTTGGCCATGTTTCTAATAGAGACTCTCAAATAGGGTTATTTAATTTATTTTTGCAGAAATCTATCATAGTTGCTCAACACTTATGTCAATAGCAACCACCTGACTGTTTGTAATAATTTGCTTTAAATGAAGAGGTTAGGAGATCATCTGTACCGTATGCAAAATCAATACAAAGTCATTTTATGCTAGGGCTGTCAAAAGTACTCAATTTAACTTACTTTACCAAAGAGGTTATCAACCAAAGAAGCTATATATATTAAAGTGTTTTCTAAGGCTTTCTTGTTCTTTTGCATTATTGATTCTTGTAGTGCTTTTAAATACAATTGCAGTACATTATACTATACGTATTAGTTACTTATTTTCTATAATATATTGTACATAGAACACACATATTATGTATTAAATATACACATAGAGCAAGTATTTTAAGCAGGTCAGTGACTTAAGAATGGTGCATAATTTATTTGTGAAACCTTTTCTCACAGTTCACAGAGCCCCTAAATACCGGTCAGATTTAATGGACACTGTTAGGCCGGTATAAAGAATATTCAGTAAAAATGAGAAAAATGAGATTAAACTTTGCATGTTAAAGACGTAAACGGGATTAGCTTGAGCTAGCATGAAAGCTAACGCGAGCCTCAAGAGACCAGTTATTTGTTGCGGTTTCTGTCGTCTCTTTGAGAAACTAAGGAAGTGAAATTGGAAGAAAATTCTCAGTGAACGATATAGTCATTAAAGCAATTAAAACAAACAAACAAATTAATAAATAAATAATAAATAAATGAATGAATAAATGATATATATCTATATCTGTCGCTACGCACTAGCGTTTCGAACGCAAAGGAGGATGGGATAACGTCACAACACCACAAAGAACAATAAAGGCGTCATAATAGCTAATTAGCATAGTTGTATATGAATATTAAACAAGGCTACTTCAGGTAAAACACCAGACTGGCTTTAAGTACTAAGTCTGGGATATTTTCTGAAACATATGGACACAGCAACGTCCAGAAGTGACCAGAATATTCAACATTGAGGTCAGAGTTTCAGCTTTTCATAAGTAGGCGACTGTCCTTGCAGACATAAAGACATATGCTTGAAATTATTTCTCCTAAATTTACAAAGCAGTGGAGTTCAAAATAACTCGTTGCTCCATGGACAAAAATCTCTCTCACGCTGTTTAGCTGGATTTGTGAACGCTGGAGATTTTCCTGTATGTCACTTGAGGCTAGTTTAAACTGAGCAGTCCGTTGTAGCTCGTTTTTGGCGTAAAGCGTAAAGTTTTGGAAGCCCAAATAACCCAGGCTACATTCGGCTAAATGCAGGAAAAGCTGAGTGAAATACACTGAAGGGAATCTGCACCGTTTCCCTCCTGGAGCCCCTCTGTTTTAAACATTTTAGAGTTTAATCTCTTCTACTGAACCCGTTTCCCCCTCAGCCAGAGCGTGTTACGATCTGAGGTGTTGGAGCAGGTTAACCAGTGAAATGCGCAGTGCATGGTGACCACAGAGCTGGAGTTGGTAAACACTGAGCTAGATCTGCACGCGCTTAACAACTGACAGAAAATAACAGAAAAACGTTAGCACAGAAAAACGCAGAGTCCACTCAAGAACGCGGTCACTCACCTGACTTTGGCGGCGACGGAAGAAATGGCATCACTCCTAAGACTCTTCCTCTTGGCCACGGCGCTGCCCATGCTGTAGTGGAAGCGGCGGAGGCGGACAGCAGCTCATTCCACTCAGCGCGCGCTGCAGGAGGAGGAGGAGAAACGCTCAGTCCGCCACTCACCCGCCTCGAAACGCTCCTTCACCGCCTCAAGCGCTCAAATCCCCGCCTGTTCCTCATGCTTAACGTTTTTACGTGTTAACAGTGTTCAGTGTCTGTATTGTGTTAGAGATTCGTGGCTCCCTCGCTTCCAGCGTCCAGCGCGAGCCACAGCGCGGATGCTGTTTCACTCACTCACGCGGAGCCTCGCGCTCGTACAGTAACGCACGGCGCAGCGCGTGCTACGCTCTCTCTCTCTCTCTCTCTCTCTCTCTCTCTCTCTCGCCCTCTTTACACGCACGCATGCACGCTCTCTCTCTCTCTCTCTCTCTCTCTCTGTGTATGCTCTCGGTGGTCTTCAGACTGATAGATGAAGGCAGGAATTGCATATGGACTGGTCAGCAGAAGACAGCTAGATCTTCATCTGCATTTATAACAGGAATGGATTACTGACCAGGTCAGTAAGGCTGGTGCACAGGGGCCTCGGAGGGCCTCACACCTTAAGCCTAAGGGGGCTCAAATATTTTGGACAATCCACTGCAGATTTCCCTTGAATATGTTTAAATGACCAAATAAATGAAATATTATCTGTATTGTTTACGGCCTTTCAAGATCTGTATTAATCCTGACTCGTGGGATTTTCTTGTTGTCATTCAAATGGGATGTTTTAGATGGTTTAGGTGTCTGATAGTGGTGTTAGTGTTCACCCTTCTATGCATGTAGGACAGAGATGGGGACTCAAGTAAGCGGCACGAGTCATATGACTGACTTGCTACTCGACTCAGTCTTGCCTTTAAAAGACTCGTAACTCCACTCTTAATCACTAAATGTCTTGCAACTCGACTCAGACTTGCCCTTGAATGACTCCCGACTCCACTCTGAATCACCCCTAAATGTTTTGTGACTTGGCTCGGACTTGCCCTTAAATGACTCGCGACTCGTCTCGGACTCGCCCTTAAATGACTCACAACTCCACTCTGAATCAATAAATGTCTTGCAACCTGACTCGGACTCACCCTTAAATGACTCATGACTCCACTCTGAATCTATAAATGTCTTGCAACTTGACTTGGACTAACTTTTAAATGACTTGCGACTCGATTTGGACTCCACTCTGAATCACCCCTAAATGTTTTGGGACTCGACTCGGACTTGCCCTTAAATGACTCGTGACTGAATTTGGACTCACCCTTAAAAGATTCCTAACTCGACATGGACTCGTCCTCAAATCACTCGCGACTCCATTCTGAATCATCCCTAAATGTCTTGCGATTTGACTCGGACTTGCCCTTAAATCACTCTTATCTCAATTTGCAGTCACCCTTAAATGACTTGTGACTCGATTTGGACTTGCCTAAAATGATTCGCGACTCTGCATATCTGTACATCAAACTTTCTATAATGAGAGGCTCATAACTTAAAGCCAAGTCAAACCTGACAGGTTTTAAGTTTTTAGAAGGGGAAAACTTTTATACAATAACTGTAACTGCAGCAAATAATGAGACTAAATTTCTCTCTTAGTCTCGAGAACAGACTTTTGAACATTTCTGGTGGTTTTCTTCTTTTTGCATCACAACTTGGTGTGGCTTGAAGGAAAAGAGAAGAAATCATGATTTAAGTTTTTCTTTACTCATATAAAACTTTCACAAACCGATACAATATAGACAGGATGGAATATCGCACATCAATAAGAGAAATTGTGTTTGTTTAAAATTGTGTTGGACATGAACACTAATGTGAACAATTGTTTCATCTCACTTTTCATGTCTTATTTATTTTATTTGCTTATTTATGTGTTGTTGTTCGAGTCCTGGAGGCCTCCAGAGATGCTTGTGCCCAGAGGCCTTGCAAGACCTCCAACCATCCCTGACTTAAAAGAGAAGTAATGGAGGCCCAAGAAAATAAGGCGCTCTTTTGATGGTGATATTATGTGATATTATGAAGCTTTCTGTCAGATGATATTCGTTCATGCTGAAGGAGGCTGAGAGCCTTTTCATCGTCTGATGTAGAGAACAGAGCCAAATGACACAGGTTTCTGAAAGATGGAATAAAAATCAATGGAGACATCTCTGGAATGAGACAGAGACACAGAGGCACATACATGAGTGAACTATTAGGAAATAAGTGTCAAAGAAATGAATAAAAAAAAATAAAAAAAACTTTGTTTTACAGTGATACTGTGTTGTACGATTACCCTGGGGTGGGAGGGTAACTGTCAAAACAAAGCTCATAAACAGCATACATTACACATATATGTATGGTGGCCAACAAGACCCTATTCATAGTACAGTTAAAAACACTTTGTAATCTCATAAACACGCCGCAAACACAGAAAACACTTTCATCAACATGACTAAACCGGAGCTACATTTTACAAACGCACTGCAAATAAAGAAAACACTTCAGAAAGGCTGCAAAAACCAGTCACAACACAACGGAAGTGAGTCGCAACACAATGAAAATGTTTCTCAAAGGGGATGGAATACCTATGATGGAAAATCACTGACAGAAGTAGAGAAGACCAAAACGTAGCGTCAGTGTCATCATTTTTTATTTGCAGTTTGTTCTTCTCAGCCACTGTATATTTGTATATGCGTTGTTGTTCCTGACATGTCACAATGAGTGAAGTTTAAATGGGATTTTAAAATAGGGCTAAATTAGGGCTGTTAAACTGGTAGGTGGTAACATGAATTGAGGTGTTGTGTCTGGTGTTTTTATGGACATGCACTCACAGCATGGTCATGCTATATTTCCTGGTTTACGTAAGCAAACAGAACCGACACAGAAATATCAAGTGTAATTAGCTTTATGGCATTTGGTAAATGCTCTAAGTAACAGTTTAATCACACAAGGAAGGCAAATATGTCATTAGGAGTCATGCCCCAGGGCTCTAATTGTTAGAGCATTTTAGGAATAAAATAAGGAAAAACTGTCGTACTGTACCACTGAGCTTCAGTTCTGACTCTGAATTAAATCATGTGAAGCCAGTTTGTTCTATGTTACTGACATAGAGGAGTGAGCTTGGTGTTTGGGTTTCTTTGACTTATCGGGGCATCATTTGTTCAAAGTTCTCCCAATATTCTTTCTTGCCATACAGAAAATATCCATAGTTTTATATTCCACACAGGGAATGTGTACCTGATTTGTAATGAAAGCAGAAAATAATGTTTTAGATCAATCCAAACTGATTTGGAAACCATGACATAATCCTACTGTATTAACCCTGCTACATGCATGAATGAACTATACTGTATGCTGGGAAAGAAACCTAAATTAGTCATGAGAGGCCTAAGCTGGGCCTCAAGTTCTTCTACCCACTAATAGGAATTTAGAAAATGAACAAATTGGAACATGGACCAACCATATAAGGTCCTGCAGCAAGGTTGCTTAGTCATATTTACACTCCTGGTGTAACCCAACCAGATAAATGTATAATATATGCCCAAAAGTTTGTAGGCACCTGTAATCCATCATGCCTTCTGAACTTGAGTATTAATTTGTTGCTGAAGCAGCCTCTAATCCTCTAGGAGGGCTTTACACTATGTTGGAACATTGCTGTGAGGATTTTATTGCATTCAGCCAGAAGAGCATTAGTGAGGTCAGGTACTGATGTTGGATGATTAGTTCGGGATCACTCTAACTCATCATAAAGGTGGATGAAGCTTCATCACTCCAAAGGAAAGCAGTTCCACTGCTCCAAAGCCTAATGCCGGAGGGACTTTGTACCACAGCCTAGTGCTGGGGGTGGGGTATGGTGACCTTAGGCTCATGTGTGGCCGTTCCAGAGTGTCCCATACTATTGGTAATGTTTTTCTATGGAGAGTATAGAAGCTGTGTGAAATTGAACACCTGTGTCAGCAATAGGTGCACCATAAAACAGCTGTAGTAAATAACTAAAAATGATTTTCAGACTCAACCTGTTGTCCATCCTGTTCTCTCGTCCACTATAAACGACCAGTTTTAAGATCTTTACTGCCTTCTATAGAGCAAAAAGCAACTTAATGGCCTTTTTACCAGGCACCTGGTAATAAAACAGTATTGAACAAAATATAAAGTTCAGTTCAAACACATGAGTAGCCAGGAGGCCTAGCAAGATGCAGACAGGTGGAGGTGTTGATGTTGATTTGGGCATTGGCAGCACAGTTGTAGCTAAGGAAACAGTTATAGACATAAAATGTGATGCTTCTGTATCAGATTGTGTTGATGCTTTATTTTGTGGTGAATATTCATTTGTATATGCAAGCAAGCATTTGAAAAGAAAAAAGTGAAAAATATGGGCATCCAGCAACCCTCAACAGTGCACAGCAGTTATTCTTGGTGTGAAAAACAGAGACAGACTGACAAAAAGCAATTAACTTGTGTGCAAAGTGGGTTCATTAAATAATATTTGTTCAGAGTGTACTTCGCTTTTGAGCACTTGCAGAACGAGTTCAAGTGCCAGGATTAAAAGTTCATTACAAATCAGTTACATTTTAAGGCTCACATCAAAACCACAGACAGACACTTTTCAAGTAAACCTTTCTTTCAAAGGGCTCACATCACAGAAAACAGTCATTTATCTCAGTTTTTGGAACGTAAGATGCAAAAAACAGCCAGTTTTGAATTCACTGTTGTTGTTGTATCGCATAGCCAACATATTTGCATACATCAACCTATGTGACCTAAAGCAGTTTAGCTCTGCCTATTCGCTCTGATGTTAAAATGAGTGTTTCAGCCTGGACTGCTTTTTGAATAAGGCACAATACAGAGCAGCCAATCAGAACAGAGGTCATTTACATACATCAGTCTTAAAAGCACAATAATAAAACAGGATGTGCAAGTCTAAGGGATAATGCCAAGTTGGAAAACCAGATAAAAAGGAACTATGACTACTTTTGGCACATAAAATATAACTTGAACACATAACTTGTATAAGTGAACGTCCAGGAAAAAAGAAAATAGAAAACTGTAGAATATGGAGGCTTTTAATCACAGTACTAGGAAAAAGGTACTGCAGGCCATCAATGTTATTTTACACCCATATTGCTTTATGATGTTTTAAAAGTTGGTTTAAAGTGAAAAACAAAGTTCATGAGCAGAAAAAGCAGTCAAGACTAAATGTAACAGCCTTAAGCAAAAACACACTGAACTTTTTTTTTCTTTTTTGGCATGGAAGCCCATTTCCTCTT